TGCTCCTTCTCACCCGACATGTGTGTGTGTCTGTGTTCGCACAATAGAATATTATGGGGGTTCTCCGATTGGCATCTAAAAGCAATCTCATTACCCACATATACACAAAAAAAGCATTTGAAAAGTGTGAAATCAAGGAATTTCTTCATTGGATTCCTAAATTCTCTGTTGATGTAGCCCGCGATGCCAAAATGGCAACATAACGACATAAAACTATTTATTATTTCTTATCTCGACAAAATGTATTTTGGGTAATTTCTTTGTGATCGACGCTGTTGTTTTTTGTTTCTTATATTCGGTTGTATTTCAGCGCTCGTTAATAAAACCGAGTCAACGGCGAAACTAAAACAGCAAGAGATATACATGATCAAATGATTTTTGATTGCTTTTTGACTTTCTTGTGCTCTTTGTTTTGTAGTTGCGAAACCAATCATATTTTTTTATTCATTCATGCGCCAACTTCGGCTACTTGAATGGTGAGTCCCAACCACTTATCGATTCGATTTTTGCACAAGTTTCACATTATGTCATACATAATAAATAACAAACATCACTTAACAGTCACCGAATATGACTAGACTTTTTACGAAAAATGCGCGTTCGAATCACGCCCCTTCAATCATCGCAAAAGTTCACCACATGCCAAACTAATGTATTATTCCATCTTATGCGTCTTTCGATGAAGCGAACACACAAAAAACTCATCATATTAAATATAATATATTAGGAGATGTTTTTTGGGAGAAGAGCGTGAAAAATTGCTTTTAATTTGAATAATGAAAACGAATTTTTGAATTATGCATTTTTAAATCGCATTTACTACGCACTTACTTCGCGAACATGCAACCGAATCCAACAATGACAACAGATGGTTATCATCGTAAAATAATGCCCATGGCCGCACAAAAATGATACATTAACTACACAATATAACCGCCCCACAAATTAAATACATTGAGTAGTGGTACAAAGTCGGTACATGATTTTTGAGCTAATTTTACCATTTGATTTATGCCAATGCAATTTAACAAAGTACTGCACACTCCTCCCTTCATTCATAATGTCACTGAGAGGGGACGGCGAGGGATGAATGATACAAATGTGGTATTTGTGTCTCAAACCCACATCAATTGCATTTCAATAAATGTTATTGACTTTTACTGTTCGCTTCAGTTTGACGGAAATGAAATCGCATTTTTATAAATTTATTCATTGCATCTATATTCTACAGTCCAAAAAAGTGAGTGGAAGAGAAACGTTTAACAAAGAAACAAATGAAATGTGAGACAAAATGCCGGGATAATAATATTGCCGGGGGACAAGGGGGAATCAACTTTCTGCACATTTTTTTTAGCAAAATCATAAATACTCACAAAATTGTTATGAAATTAATGAGAATTTTGGATTTTCAATTAAATTTGGACTTTCTTCAAAATGTTTTGTACTAAAATAAAAATGCAGAAAAACTATAACTTATTTCGTATCAATAATTCACGAGCCTCATTAATGAAATTAATAAAATAATAAAATAAAATTTTATAGGCACATTTTCTAAAATGTGAAAGGCTCAATGCAAATTTCAAATGTAGCGATTGGTGTGTTCAGTACTTCGTGAAAACATTCGTAAAAAGGATTTTCAAACTTTCAAACATGTTTGAATACGAGCGAATGAGAATCGCAATTGCTTGAAAATGTTTTCGTTCAGACGTGCGCAAGTTTGATATTTAAAAATCCCCTTGTTCTGTTATCCGCAGTCAGAAAAAAGACCGAAAATGATTACTCGCAAAATAGAATCATGTGATTTCGTTCATGAGTTGATGGGAATTATATTCGTAAAAATCTTGAAAAAAATTAGTCAAAACCATTATCACAATTCCGTTTTAATGGGAGGTAATAAGTTCAATGAAATACACTCGTTTAACAGCATCAACCAAAAAAAAACGCCACCACGAATGCTGAAGCGGAAGTTAGAAAAAATTCAGTTGGTATGGCAACATGAATAATAGCATCAAACACATAAACAGAAAAAAACACAGCGAGCTACATATAATGTTGCCGTTTTATCAGCATTTAGTACTGTATGATGTCGTACATCCAGAGAGTGTATCTCTGGCGAGAGTTGCGTATTTAGTCGAGCAATTTATTCGGGAAATTGGTAAAACATATGAAAAAAATGCCTGTGGCTAAAAATTATTACGTTTTTCTCTATATTTCACGCTTCTCCCCTCATCCCAATAATTTTATTGCATGCACCCACATAATCGTTGTGGCACGCGCGCGCGCACATCGAATATTCAATTCGTTTCGTTTCATATTTTTGTATGTGTGCATGACAATTGTGACACAAACAATTACAACAAAAATGCCACCAAATTCGAATCGCACAAATGAATTAAGGGAAATGTTTCACCATTTCCGTATCGTTTGAACGATAATCTCGCTCTTTTTTATGGAACCAAAAGAATGAACTTTTTTCAAACAGCGCGCACTTTTATATTATCACAAATATGTTTCGACGCGGAAAGAATATATGGAACTTGATGAGAGAAAAAAAAAACCGGAACCAAAATCATCACTACGGTTAGAATAGTACGCTTACAACATCCTCAATGGCATTCTCATTTGACTGATACGGAATTGTAACGAATGAATCACATGAGTTGTCAACGAATTTCCATTGAATGAACGGAAGATTTAGTGATGAAATTTTTGTTCGATTCACTTTAAATCATTTTTTGATTATGAAAACTTTCAAATGTATAAATCCAAAATGTTGTTAAATTCTGAGTGAATTTATTCATTGACAACTTTATTTGTGTTTAAATTTCGTCACTTAATATTATGAAATTATCACCAAAACTGCGTTTGTGTCATAGAGTGAGATAATAGTTTCCAACTAGAATGTCATTACTTTTTCAGTTCACTGTTTGATTCTTCGATTTGTAACAGTGTCCAACATATTGTCGATGTGATTCAGTTTATTTGATTTCATTGATGTCTCTTGGTTAACTTGTGATGTGCGTGTGCGAGTGAGAAAATAGAGATTCAGAAATGTGATAAAGCGACAATTGTCGACAAAAATGTAATCAATGCAAAAGCAACAACAAAATTCGAACCAAACGTAAATTATCACATTTCAAGTCCTTGGCTAATTTTCGACAGCAATGATCATAATATGCCGTCATTACATTTTCGCAATCTGATGCGGATGTTAAACAATACCGATAACAACCGAATATTCTCGCACGAATACACACAGAGAGTGATGCGAGTCGCCCAAAACACGCACAGCGTCGCCAAAATAAAAGGAAGATAGAGCCGCCACTATATGCATATAGGAAATGTGCGATGAGACTGTTTCCGTTTCGAAATCTGATAATGAAATACGCATCTAATTGGGAATGAGTATCACATAAAAAATGCGAACATATTGGCGCACATCTTACATTATTGTTATCGAACAATCGTACGAAAAACCCAAATCCGACACAGATCGAGACTTAGTTTTATGTGTGTGAGTTTGCACGTTGCATCTATTATTATTGGATGTGTCGTCGGTGATGTTGGAACTTGGAAGTCGTTTTTATTTTTATTGTGAGCCGAATGTGATTTTCATGCCAAACTTGAAATCATAAAGGTGAACGAAAAGAATAAATGAAAAAGAAAACCATAAATTCGAATATATTGAGTTGACGGCAACCAGAGAGTGGGATAGAGAGAGAGAGGGAGATGAACTCACTTCCAATGAATGGCAAGCACAAAGTTTAATTAAATTTATTGGTTCGTTTAGCACTCGCATGTATTTTGCTAATGATAATGAGACACGATTGTCTACAGAATAACAATAAAATTCGAATCGTTTCGTGATTGTGCACGCATACAAAACAAGCCTTCGGCATCATTCAAAAATGATTTTGCCAAAGATAATATGCACACATACACACAATTTTTCTTCGGCATCCAGAGATTACTTAACCAATGAAAAGAAGAAGCAAACAAGTTAATTCAACCATTCCAATTCCAATTCTCTTCATTTTTTTTGTGCTGATTTTCTTTTGTTCTCTGCAATATGCACAGTGAACGTATTATGATATGTAGAATCACTAATAAAGTGTGATCCGGAATAATTCATTCATCAGCGTGCCTATTATGTTCATTTTCAAACTCAATTGGAAAGTTTGCATATTAATCAAATTTCTTCAATAAGCTTCGGAGAAAAAATTACAAGTCTTATGAATGCCATCACAGAGTCATATTAAAATTCAGCAATATATTCCCACATCGTGTCCCCCATTGCATTAAGAATCACAATGCAGAGGCAATGGATGTCCTTGAAGAAAATCCCACATTTTAAATTGGTAAATTATAACCATGATTTTATTTAAATCGACCAATCAAACCGAAATAAATTTTCAGCGCAAAAAAAAAAGTTTTTCGTTTGTATGTGACAAATATGAGAATTATATTACCCTTTTTTCTCGCTTCGAATGCAAATTCAGCATTTGCCAATGAGCAACAATAATGGGACGAAAAAATACGCGAACGACCGTTTCTTAAGACTGATTACATTTGCATCCGTAGTTTTCCATTAGTCACATAAAAAAGCATAAATCTTCATTTTTGGTTGAATAAATGTTCGAGTCGATTTTTCCAATTTTGCTTACGTAATCGGTCACGTACTCATCTTTTTTTCCCATTCTTTTCAATGTGCCGTCGAACAGAGTCTATCTCTCTCTCTCGCTCGCTCTCTTTACAATCGAAATGCTGTGTAGGTAATTTATCGATGGAATTTATTTTTCATCTATCTTTTTCAGCATATTTCATGTTCATTTTCTTTTCATCTATTACATTATTCAAGTTGAGCTCTTCTTCTTTTTTTCACGAACGAAGCAAACAACTTAAGCCCGGCAACATAACCTTTTGTTCACAATTCACAACAAATTGACTAATTCATTTCGTTAAATTTTCCAATTTTTTTTTCTCTCTCTTCTCGTTCACAGCACTACCCGAGGATCCTGAATTTACAGATGTCATAGAAAACATCACTGTGCCGGCAGGACGCAATATAAAATTAGCTTGCTCCGTGAAAAATTTGGGATCATACAAGGTACGTAGTAGAAGCGAAAAAAGATGAAAAATATCTCATGAATTTTAAAATAAATTGATGTTGATCGGACCACAAAAATATTCATCGACGAACGGACATGTCGCAAGAAATAACACCGATGTAATCCAATCGGACAAATTGTTCCATTAAGAATAAAAAGCATCTTCTCTACATTTAAGACTTTCATTAGAATTATGTGTGTGTGTGCAAGTTATTTGTTAAAATCTTATTGGCGCTTAACAACAGCGGCAACCAATCGAAAACGACGTGATGCTGCGTTTTTATTATCATGATTTCGGTCTCGAGTTTTGATTAGATCTCTGATTTTCATTTTGCAATCACTCCTTTCCTTTCTCACTCTCCAATTCTGACAAGCACACGAAGTCTTCTTTCGCATAAAATGTCAAAGTCAAAAACACAATATTCAAACCAGTCTTTAGCAATTGTTTTTATCACGATTCCCAACCGATTCGATTTTCATTGTCAATCCCTTGTTTGGATTTTTATATTGTAAGTTTGTTGTCGTTGCCGAACAACCCCTGCCTCCCTGTTTTTTCACTACTATTTTATCTTAACTATTTAAGCTAAACGACAACAATACATTCGAAGTTCTTCGTATCGAGATCTGAGCGGCCAACGACATCGATTGGTTATTCAATGCTCATCATGAGCAGAGCATAGGAAAAAAAGTAAGGTGGAAAATTGTGTTTGCCATATTCCTTATCGAATTCACATCGAATATTTGCCAAAATTGGCCCAAAGCGCATCGCAGAAGAAAAAATAAAGAACTCAAAACTTGAGGAGTTTTCTCGAACCGCATCAAACAATGCAAAGTTTGTTGTTGCGTTGTTCAAATGAGCATTCACTTCATCTATTCGGTCTTATTTTAGAAAAGAAAAGATAGAAAATTATTTCATTATTATTATCATCATTACTTCAAATGAACAAAGTTTCACTCATTCATTCACTCACTCAACCCCAAATTCGACACATGTTAACCCGCTCGCTGCAAACTTCAAACACAGAGAAATTAAATAACTTCATTCTTCCTTTCATATCACACAATGTTTCCATAATAACAAAAGTGAATTAAAAACAAAACCGACTCACATGAAAAAAAAAAAATGAAATTAAATCCAAACGCCAAAATCATCACGAGCTACCGCAATCATCTAATCATAAAAATATGGCAGATAAATAGATTAACCGAATGGGGATGTGTATACACGAGAATAGTATGTGTGTGTGTGCGTGCGTACGAGAAGAAAACACACACGCTTCGTTTTTTGTTGCCTTTGTACATACACCGGCAGTCGTTTTCATTCATTCTCGTGTGTGATTTCATTTTGCCAATGGAAACTGGCACATGTTTGCAAACATCTTCTGCCACAGGAATTCTTGACAGTGTTTTGTTATTGTTATATATATCAGGGTCGATGTTGGAATTAATAAAAGAGCATTGCAAAAACCATCGACTTCGAACTCAAATATATACTTTTGTACATATTGTACGGAGAGCAAATTGGCAGCAGAGTTAAAACAGGTACACATATGCATCGTCTAGCCTGTAGCCGTGGCCCCGAATCAAAGGATGCAGGAATCATGATATGAATACGTAATTTTCATTTAGGAATTGAACAATTTTCTACTTCATTCGGAACGAATCGAGATCAAAAAATGGGAAATGATCAACGGCTGCAAAGCATCCGCTATTATTTACTTTAATCAATCATTGTGGTTGAAAATGGTAGATGCGTACAGTTACATATACATTGCCACCCATCAACCCCCGAGTCATTTGCATTTTCAATTCAGATCAGTGTATCTGGGAAGCATCGAACTGTTGCCAAATGCTTCGATGTATTGAAATCCAATTAACTTTTGGAAAAAAATACAAACAAATAACATCCGAAGTTGACGCATTTTTCGGGCGACGGTTTTGTCTTTATGATTCTCTAAAATTGTTTTAATATTTTAAGCCAGACACCTTTTTCCACCATGTGCGGTTATGTGTGTGTGTGTAAAACGGATTTTGTTCACCGGTTTACATCAGACATCCCAAATGGTTTCAAGGTTTTTTTCTTCACCCTCTCTTGACTATTTTCGGTATTAAAAAGGTAGATGTTTGTAAAGCTTAACAGTTTATATGAACATTTTCCCAGAGTATGTGTTGAAATATTTGAGTTTCAACCGAGGATCCAAATCACAGCACAGAGAATTGAAAATTTGTTATACCAACCGAGTTTTTGTGAAACATCCATCGATTTGTTCCTTTAGTTTTCTGTCTGAAATCGTTTTACCACAACATATCTTGAATCTGACAAGTATATAAATCACAGCAATTTCATTTAAAGTCCCATAAATTCGTGGATAATATGCATAATATTAGCACTTGTGGTGGAAAAAATGAACGGTATCATGATGTATATGTGACGAGAAGTCACGTTCGTTTACCACCATAAAAATAAGTGAGCCAATCAACCAACTAATTTAACATGTCATTTTTGTGGTGTGAATTGCCAGCCGCCAGTCAATCAATATTGTTTAGTTTTGCTCGGTTTGCGGCAACGATAAATTGATAGCTCCACTTGATGAATTGATGTTAAAAAAGCGTGTGCAAGCGCTTATGAAACAGAATCATCATTAAATATTTAAAAAGGCGCATTTTGAATGTTTGACATGTTGCCACTCTCGCACCCAAGCCAATTACAAACAAAGACAACGATCCTTACGGTGTCAGCATTTAATATTACTTACACACGACAAATATGCTACTTTTTTCTCTCGATATTTCACTTCCTGCATTTCTTTCTTTCGACACCTATATATTTTGGCAGCAAAACTGTGAACGAAAAAAAAGCAGATTGTTTGTTTGCTCGTCGTTTTCGTTTGTTTTCGTGTTGATTTCATCTCCATGCAAACAATGTTCGCTCATTCAAATGCATGTCGAGTGTGTACACGCGGAGATCATGTACATGATGCTAAATGAAAAGACTTTTAATCTGTGTGGGGTGAATGTGAACTGAATTCGATTAGAAGTCTAAAAGAAAACAAAAAAAAAAACAATAACAAAAATCGAACGTGTAAGCAGCATTTTTTTCGGAAGACAAAAAAACCATCGATTTTACTGGAAGTCAAGCACACAAAAACTCATTTTCACTTTCTACACAATAATAAGTCTTCGTGCGTGTCCCTCATTTCATTAAAAATTTCAGTGTGTGCGCGAGCCAAAAAATGACAATGGATGATTCATAATCATTAAGAACATATTATGACATGACACAGCAGCTACAATAGAATAAAAATTATCCCATTTTGTACACACATACATGCTCACAGAAGACGTCAATTGTAATATTTGCGAACTCTGGTGGTGATTTACTAAATTACCACCATTACAATGTGTGGCATGGTGATTTTTGTATGTATTGTATGTGCTTTGCTGAGCAATATTACTATCGCTCAACGCAGTGTTGGTTGTAATACTGTACAGCGCTGTCACAGCAAAGCAAATACAATACATACAAAAATCACCATGCCGCACATTGTAATGGTGGTAATTTAGTAAATTACTACCAGAGTTCACAAATATTACAACTGACGTCTTCTGTGAGTGCGGTCGATGAACGCCGCATACATTGTCTTCTTCCATCTCTCTGTCTCTGTCTCTTTTCATTCCTGTCTTCCTCTTTCGAGTAGATTTTCGGCTAAATAAACTGTGTGTGTGTGTATGTGTTGTTAGTCGACGACAAACAAGAGATGGATGCGAAATGTATACTTCATTTTATCACTTTGGTGTCACAACCGCTGCTATTCATCTCTCTTCGCCAAAAAAATTTACCTGCAAATGAAGCGAATTTTGTGGGAAAATCAAGTAAAAGCAAAAGTTATTATGCATACAAGTTATAACACAAAGAGTGGAATAGTACCAGTAGCAGCATCATTATTGTAGCCCAAATTCGGGTGCGCATTTTTTTTATTTTCACGGGAAAAAAGAAAGAAACAACATGTTCAAATCACATACACCATACAGCACCTGAGAAATGTCAACATTGGAATTTAAGGGAAAAAATGCCCGAAAAAGAGTGTAGAAACATTCACGAGACAACGAATGGAAAATAAATGACAGGAAAAATTCGGTACACGAAAAAAAAAAAATTGCGAACAAAGTGAATTGATGAAACGATGGTAAAAAAGAGAGACACCATGGAACAATATTGTTGAAGCAAGCAGAGAAAAAAAATGAACTTCATTAATTTTCCTTTTTGTCGTTTGTGTTGATATAATTCGTGTGTCGCAAAGTAAACGTCATCGTGGTTGACTCTGGTGGTTCATTGTGAGCCGCGCCACTCCGCGCTGACGCTTTCACAATGTAATTTTTCGCAATTCATCTATTGTTGAAAAATGTCGGTTTATTTTAACTTTTTTTTCTTCTTCGTACTGCGGGATTTTGCTTGATTTTCTTTTTTTGCAATTTCAACAATATAGTGTTTTGGGACACGAGCGAGCGAGATGCATCTCACTCTCGTCATGCACGAGACGCGCACCCAGCTCAGATATAATGTAATGATACTGTTTCGCGTACTCACAAAGTCACTGTCGCTCTCTGTCTCTCTTCTTTTCTCGCGTAACATTATGTGTACAAAAGTCACATTATAGATACTTTGTTATGCTAATCATACACTCGCCTCTGAAACATCATTACTTCGGTTCATCATTTGTTGTTCGTATTCGGAGTTTTTTCGCATCAAAAATGTGTCTCTTTCTCTATCTCTCTTTATGTCTGAGTGTCTCTCTTTCACTCTCTACTTTGTGTCGTTTTAAAAATCTACTTTGGTTTTTAAAGGTTTGTTTGTTGGTCCTGGTGTCTCGCCTCTCAAATTGGCTTCGGGTGTTTCTAAGGTTTTGTGTGTTTTTTGCTTATGAAAATGTGGTGCAATTTCTCATATTCAAGCTCAAGCATTTCTCGTACCGAATGCCTGCCCCGAAGAAACTACTCATTTTTGCAATCATCATTGCGATTTGTCTCTCATTGTATGTGCATGTGTACACACGCGACGGTCTCACCACCGAAAAATATGCTTTTCAAATGAAGTTAAATGTATTCTGTTGCACGAGTTCACATATATACACAAAATATTTAAGCCGATTGCCGGGCGAGATAGAGCAGGTTCGCCGTTTTAACGAGTTCGATGTGTACACATTGCGAGAAAGAGAGAACATTTTTAGTTGCAAAATTGCGCTTCCATTATTATCTCACCGAATAAAACATTCAAATTAGGGATTTTCGTTACGTTTAACACAAATTCTTTTCTCTCTCTCTCTCTCTCTCTCTCTCGTTCTCTCTCTCTCTCGCTCTCTCTCTCGTTTGAGTTATTTTGGAAACGTCAACACACATGCATCGACTGTTGAAAAGCTGTACAAACTGTGATTTGATGGACAATTTATATAAATATACTCGAACGATGATAACTTTAAGACGAACGATTTTTCGAGAAATCTCCTTCAAGTTCAATGCATTCAACGAGATGAAGCAAGTGAAGCGCATCTGGCCGATTAACATTGGACTGAGTCCATAATAATTGAAAATGATGAAATCCAAACAATCGACCGAAAAATCCGGATTTTCGGATTGTTGTGTGTTGATGTGAATGTGGAAACAGTGATGACATGATGGTTGAGTGTACATTCAACGCAACAGCGATTTGTCAAAACTCCTGTCGAAATGGTAAACGTGCTTCGACGAAAATAGACGACAGAGACACAAAAAACACACTCACAACTAAAATATGCACAACTATTTTGAATACGATTTCGATTTATCTTCATTTCACTGTTTAGTATGAATAAAGATGCAAATTTGCATTTTCACCGTTTGTTATTGCTACTGCTGCTGTCGCTACTAATACTACTGTTGTCAACAGATTGTTATATGTATGTGGATGTGTGTGCTCTGGATCACGATGATTCAAAGGATGAAACATACACAAGTGTACATTGAACTTGATAAGATTTCTTTTCCATTGTTCCATTTCTTTTTATTCATTCGATTCTTTTTCGTTTATCCTTCTTCTTTTTTTTGTGTGCATAAAAATGTCGAAAAGCATTTGCAATAACAACAAATCGGCCGAATGCGAATTGTTTCCAATGTTCTTGTCGTTGAAAATGAAAATCAATATGTCACAAGTGGTAACACGTCTTTCTACCGTAATGAAAAGCATAACAGTGGAGTTCTTATTTCGTTTTAAGAGAAAAAGAGATTGTCGGCTGTATTTCCTTCGAAAAGCAGATAATGATGAATGGCTTGAAGAATGGGCGCAAATATACACCTACACACAAATAAACCGACACCGTTTCACTCGATGAATAGAAAGACGAACTGCATGTTGAATAAATACTATTCACGTGCACCGTAAGCATGATAAATTATTGACGATGAACGACGAACACATTTCAACTCAATTCGAATGAGAAAGAAAGAGAGAGATAGATAGAGAGAGAGAGAGAGGTGTAAAAGCACACAGTTACATCGAAAAGCCAAAATTGCTCGGAATTTAAACAGTTTGCTTTTTCGATCTTCTTAACATGGCAAAATGAGCGAAGGATTTGTATGTGTATGTGTTTGAGATTGAACGTGTGATTTCATGCTCGATAAAGATGAACAGAAACGTGCAGAAAGGACAGGCGGCTTCATGAATTGGTGCTGTGTACAGCGCACATACACATATATTGACAAATCGGTTTGGTAATTCCAATCATATTACAAATTTAGTATACCCGTTTATTTGGTTAAAATTCGGGACGTTCCAACCAAACGACCTAACTAAACGATACTGATGGATATTTAATGCTCTTGTTACAAAATTTGACCAGGTGTATCCACTTTTATGTGGTTTTTCCACATGCATACAATATCGTGAATGTGTTATCGCATTCAAATGCTGCTTCGAATAACAAGTTCCCACTTTATTTGACGCATTTTCTCATGCATATATCGAATTTCATCACCATCCCCCATCAAATCATCGTCATTATGTAGAACGATATGTAGTTGATAAAATCCAAAGATAAATCGATTTTTATTTTTAATACAAATTATTTACTCTCTTTCTCTTTCTCTCTCTCTGTACCTAGGTCGCATGGATCCACTTTGAACAATCGGTATGCCATCTCAATATTGACATCTGCAAGTCGGCATTTCCAATTCACAATCAAACACAACTGTTTCTCTGTCCTTCTAATTTTTTTGCATTTAGGCTATTTTGACAGTACACAACCATGTAATCACCCGAAATCCACGGATCAGTGTGACGCATGATAAACACGATAAGCATCGTACATGGTTTTTACACATAAACAATGTCAAAGAGGAGGATCACGGCCGATACATGGTTTGATAACATAACTAACAAGCAATACAATCTGACGCTGAAAATCTTTTCTTCTTATTTTATTTGCAGTGCCAAATAAACACCGTAACAGCGAAGACGCAATTCGGCTTCGTTCATGTTGTAGGTATGTGGTCATTTGTTTCTTTTATTCGTATTACCATAGCGAAGAGCAACCCCTTTTCAGTCGGTATCTTGTTACAAATCATTTTCTATGCGTCAATAGATTTGTGGCCGAGACGTGGTCGCTTCAGTCGAAATGAAGCGTATCTTTTTATTTGGAATAAAGGCGAAATAAAAAGTATTCAGAAATATACATTGCCAACCACTGGTATGCAACCGGATACTCAAGCTTTTCCTCTTCCGCACAATTCCAACCAACAATTGCAATCTTTTTGTACAAATCGAAAAAAACTGACTCGACAAAATGCAACGCCATTGCAAAACTTACAAAGCCATTTAGAAAATAAACTCCACTTTTAGTGTATCCGCTTTTGTCGGCAGCGGCTATACCAATTTATTAGTTAACAAGGACAAAAAAAAGCGAAACCAATACCATAACATTTTTACAAAAAAAATGTACAGTTTGAGTGTTTTTATTGTTTGATAATTTTTCTGTCTGCAAACCGGATTTGTTCATGTTTTTTTTTTATCAAAACAAAATGAACATAATTCTACTGTAGACTAATTAAATGATTTGATTCGGTTAGAATAAAAAGTAGACTTGAAAAAATGACATTTAAAAACTGCTGTGTTTCATAGATGATGACGTAAAATTTTTTAGGGGGGGGTGATGGAAAAATCCATGGGGGGTCCCTGACGATGTCAACAATTTGTACAAAATGAGGATAAAATCGTTTTTTTTTTGGAAGTCACTTTTGGAGACGAAAATCCCTAGCAAATCGGAAGAATTTTCTCGGCCAAAAAAAGTGAAGAGCAAAAAAAAGGTCCTCATTTCCAAAATTGTTGAGGGTTCCTAAAAATATTTTAGGGGGGGTCATCCAACCCCTAGGAACCCTCGTCATAACCTATGGCAGTGTTTAAATTTTTATTTAAAGTGGGGTCTTTATTCTAGCTCATTCGTTTCACATTTTTCTGCAACTTTCCTTTCAAATTACTGTTAATCGTACTGTAATTCGAATAAATACTTGTTCAATTTTGAAAGCTACTTACGTCGAAAGCTGCATTTTACTCTTCCATAATTTGGCTGCTAATTAATTTTTAATAAATTTTAAAACAAAGCCAAAAAGCACTTCTGAACAAAAAAACTGCCAACACTCAAAACTCAATAAAAAATACTGCTTGTTCTATTAAACGAGAAAATGACGGAGAATCAAAATGGCGAAATGAAAATGGGATCCAAATGCCGAAATGAGACACAAAAGACAAAGCACGACCAACATGTATTGTTGTGATTAAAAGCAGCACCACAGTCGCGGTAGACACGTCGCTCTGAAAGCATTACGTTATTACAGTTTTGTTATTATGATTGTTGTACCATGCAATTCACGCTACACCGTGGCGCATCATCTCTCACTTCACATTCCATGCAGCGTTAAAATGCACGATTTTCCACATTTTCGGGTCGCTCTCGCTCTTGTCATCGCATTTTCACCGATGAAGATGATAATTTGTTTAATAGGTGCTCAAGCAACATCTTTGTGCATAAACTCATTTTTACAACGTTCAACTCCATCAAAAACTCCGAAATGAATTATGTGCATAACAAAAATAACAAAAAAAAAGTACGCATGCAGAGAGAGAGAGAGAGTCAATTGAAATGAAAGAAAACGACTTACAACAAACATTCACTCTGCTCAAAAAACTTTTACCAATAAACATATTTTTCATTCACTCGCTCTCACTCAGGACAAACAGACCTTTTATTGGGTCAGGTTGTTGTTTTGTTTTTCTTTCTGCTTCTGCAACTTCTGTTTCTCCATTTTCTTGTCAATGTGTGTGTGGTTGTGTCGCTGCTTTGGTGACTCCGCTGGTGTAATCGAGTAATATCACCATCATTGTATACATTATACAACATAAAATCTTAACAGTGTCGTGCTTTTCTTTCCATGTTTCATCGCGGCGTATGGAAAACCATTTTAATATAAATAAATTACATTTTTGTGGACTCAATGTCGCAATTATCATTTATCATCGCTGAAACACGGCATATTTTTCATTCACCATCGCACTCTACGAAGCGTCAGAGAAGAAAAACCTCTTTTTTTCGCTCAGCTGTATTTTTCATACAAAGTTGTTTTCATTCAATGAAGTTTATGGAGCGAGAGTGAATGGGAATGAAAACAAAACCGAACAAAAAAATGTGAATACAAAAAATGCAATTTCTCGGCGCATCGAGTTAATGAAGTCAGGTTGAAGAGAGAGAAAATTCCGATGAGTATAAACGTCTCCTCAATTAAACAAGTGATGACTCTTGTCGTCGTTCGTTTTTTTCGCATTATAATGATTTAAAACTAACCATCTTCCTTTGTAGGGGAAAAATTCGATTTTTTCTCTCTCTGAACGTTAAAATTTGCAAACGTGTTGACATGCACAATGTAGAAAAAAGATAGAAAAAAAGGGCAAAAACTAATTGAATTATTCGGTGAAATAGCGATCGAGTCGATGAGCGTGTCAGCAAAAACAATGCATAATTGTGGAAATAATGGAAAACTAATCTCGATAAATCGTGGTTTTGTGACCAAAACTGACTGTCACCAAGTGCAAAACACAATGACTAACTTACGTTTAATAACTAATGGCCATCAATGTCGAATTGCACGTACTGCATTTGGTCCCATGGCGTTTCGTTTTTGTACTCTGTTTGTCTCTCCCGCTCGATGATTTCGAATTCAACAAAACGGAGATTTGTTGTTTCAATACAATGGAACACACTCTCGCATCAGTTTCGGTCGTTGTGCTTTTTTCTTGCTTGTATGTTCTGTGTGTCGCGCGCTGATACAAATTTATGGAAACGGACCAAGACTCCGAAACTTTCACCAGACCCAAAAGAGAAATTACTGGCAGAATTCAATTTAACCCAATGTTCATGTGTATTCAAAGCCGTCGAACATTTTCAAAAAAAAATAGTGCACACGGAGAGAAATCGACATACGACGAAAATTCCAAATGTTTTCCATACACACATACAGCACAGCATTGAAAATGAGGAAGTGTTATGTGCACCAAACGACCAACCGACCGACTGGACAAACCAAAAAAAGTCATTGTGTCGCCGCGACTCGTTCGACATTTGACAGCATAATAATTTTCAAAATTACATTAGTTTAATCAAACTTTTCTATTAAAAAAGTTTATTTTTTTCGATTGTTCAGTTAGTAGGTTAGACGATTGGTAGTTTTCGGATGACTGTCAACCAATCGATTGTGTTATTTTGTACGAAATTCCCTGAATTTGCAACACTAGAGTGTAAAACAAAACACATGCAATGAAAACATTAATGGTGCCATTTGATTTGGTGAACAATCGATTTTGCCGCTTTGTTGAGACAGATGAGAGAGGCAGAGACAGATAGAGAATGAGAAATAACGAGAAAAAACTCGTACACTCGATTGGTGTTGAGAGCAAACGCTTGTCTACCAACGCTAGTCGAAGAATAATTCAACTCTTCGTTCTATTTTATTTATTGATTTCGATTATGAAAATTTATGGGAATGAGCTCAAACATCGCCAATGGCAAAAATTTCGTACACAATGTTCAATGCTTTCGGACTATGATTGTCGTTCTTTGTTCCTAAACATTTGGTGCTTTTTTGGGATGACATTGGTTATTTACATTACGAATCATCGTACATTATATGAAATCAAAAATTATGATTATTTGTTCAGTTGGTGCACATAAAAATGAGCATGTTTTTTTTGGCATACCAAAATGTACGAATACCAAACTTTTTGCTCCAAAAAATTAGGATTTATGAAAGTTTTTTTGTTTGTTTGACACAAAAATAACTAACACAATGTCTAATAAGCAATTCCAGAAGATGTTGAAAATATGCTCTTCGTTTTTATTGCAGTGCCGCCAAATATCGAAGATTCACTTACATCAACCGATGTTGTAGCCCGGGAAGGGTCGAATGTGACTCTAAAATGCAAAGGTACGTATTCGATTCTCTCGCTCTCTCGTTCTCTTGGTTTATTTGTCGTTTTTTGTTTGTTTTTTCGTAAAGCATCGGGCAGTCCTGAACCAATGATAAAATGGAAGAGAGACGACAACAATAAAATATCAATTAGCAAAGGCTTAAGTGGTGAGTATCGATTACCCTATTCGCATTATCATATTTCACATAAAAGTATCAATTTATCGTCCCAAACTTTTATGCATCCACTTTCACATGATGATAAATGTCGTGTGCGTGTATATGTTTGTATTTACAGTGACCGAATGGGAAGGTGAAGTTTTGGAAATAGCTCGAATATCGCGTCTCGACATGAGTGCGTATCTGTGTATTGCAAGTAACGGGGTACCGCCAAGCGTTTCCAAACGTATAAAGTTAAGCGTCGATTGTAAGTATGCAATATGTATATGTGCAATGACTCTTTGGCTCCATGCCATCCGATCATTTTTTTATTTCAATATCAATTTTACATATACTCTTTTTTACCCTTTCCATTTTCATTTTAGTTCCGCCGATGGTGTGGATTCCCCAAGTAAGTTTTAGCGCACACATGAATACTGTGAATTGTCAAAGAAAATGTTGAAAGAGGATGATAGATATTTTTGATTTCCCACAGCAACTCGTCGGGACACCCGTTGGATACAACATTTCGCTTGAATGTTTCATTGAAGCATATCCAATATCGTTAAATTATTGGTCAAAGGATGACAGCGATATGATACACGATTCCAGCAAGTACAAGTAAGTGTTCAGCCAAATTAGGCCAATTTTCTCCCATATTATTTACATTGCTAACCTAATCTTAGGAGTGCTCATATTTCCGAAAATATTTCATGTAATAGTTTTCAATGAATTTTTTTTTGTTTGGCACATACAATTCGATTAAAGTTGAATTTTGTACATGTTCCACTTTTCATTATAATGGTATTTTTAATTTTCTCACTTCGCAGAACTGAAACCGTTATCAATCGGCCATCGTACAAGTCAACGATGCGCCTAACTATCACCAATGTTAAAAAGGATGACTATGGAATGTACAAATGTGAGTGTTTTCTTCATCACATCTACTGATAGATGTACTATTTCCATCTATATAAATCTATTTATAAAAAATTTATTTCATAAAAAAATACAACTATACAAAAATACTTGGTATTTTTTCAGGTGTTGCGAAAAATCCGCGTGGTGAAACAGATGGCACAATTCGTCTTTATTGTGAGTATTCATTATTTACGTGCGTTTTGAATAAATAAAATTCAACTAGGGACTCTCTTTTAACCCTTAACCGCACAGGCTAAAACAGTAACGTAAGCGCACAGGTGGGGTCTTTTTGGACCCATGAGAAATTTCATACAAAACTTATGCAAAATGGTATCCAATGAGTAAAATATGTCATTTTATAGTTAAAACATAGCTTATTCCTTACTTTCCAATACAGCATCACAATTTAATATTGATTTTTATGGAAAAAAAAATCAATTATAGCCAAAATTCTTGGTAGTTATTGATATGTACGACTTTCAGACAGTCGTGTCTTTCACTAATATCGCTAATCGACAGTCGTTGGCCAGGTTATGTGCTTCGTGTACTGCGCCGAACTACCTCTCGATATGTGAGATCGATATAGAGAATGCTTCCCGAAGGGCGATCGCATGAGATTGCGCTGCTTCCGTTCTTCCTCCATACTTGGCAAACATGTTGTTAGACGTTCGCAACAAGGCAAACCCTGCCACACCAGCAACGTTCACCAAATTCACGAAATATGCCCATACTTTGTGTTTTGGATAGGATAGATCCGTAAGATCTCCGCAAGAGCTGGATCTAAGCGTGCGTAGGCCGCCGCATGATACATACTTTGATTGGCACGCCTGCTTTGATTTGCGCGTCGAAGCAACACAGAAAAACGAACGGATATATCATGCGGCGGCGTATGCACGCTTAGATCAAGCTCTTGTGGAGATCTTACGGATCTATCCTATCCAAAAAAAAACAATGTATGAATATATAATATAATGGCAAATGCCATTTGATTTGCGATGAACAGTATACGTCACGGACAAAACAATTTACTGTGTTGTTGTTTGATGAAATGTAAATTGTTGTGTCAACAAATCTCCATGAGTTTCATATTGGCCCATACAGAATACATCATTTCCCATACAAAATAATTTGGGGTCCAAAAGACCCCGTTGTGCTTTTACGTTAGTATTTTGTATAAGACTTCCCAAAACTTCATCTATGCACCAAACATTGAAATCTTTGATTTTATCACATAGATATGATATTAAAAAAGAAAACGCTCAGCGAAATTTTCCAATTTTTTTTTATATTTTTGTGATTTTTTCAAAAAACTAACTCTTAGGGCCTAAGAGACCCCACGTGTGCGTTTGAGGGTTAATGAAATTTGTCAGAAAATACAAAATCATTTTGCATTCATTGAATGAATTTTCTATTGTAAATTTTCTGTTGTGAATTCACCCAAAAACAGCCAACATATGTGTATGTCTTGAAATCCCTGTTATTATCCATGGATTTGACAACCGAATAAGCCAAGATTATCACCTACCTTGACACTACGTATTCAATGCTCCTTTTCCAAACCATTCTAACTCTCTGTATCTCTCTTGAACAAAGTTCTTTTTTTATTCAAAATGATGCTTTTCTTTATTTATTTTAAAGTTGACGAATCATTCTTCGGGCAAATTTTATTTTTGTTTGATCAAATAAAAAAAATGAATCCGATTTCTTGCAAGCTCCTACTGTTTCCATGTTATGCATAACAGCTTGTTGATTGATGTGTGTTATAATTAATATCCATATCCTTTATTTTGTCTTCTTTCTTTTATCATTTTGATTCTTCAAATAACGCAAAATATCGATTGAATCCGAAATCCATCATATGAAAAATAAACATGTTTAAGCAATTGATTTCAAATGTAAAGATACTTCCGTATACAAATTCAACGCGAGTTAAATCTACATATACTCCATGACATATGTTTGGAAATGACGTGCTTTGTAAAATCTTCTGCTATTTTTTTGCTCCCGTCGATTTGGGCTCATGTTTAAAATTGGATCGGGATTTGTTTAACCGAGAATTTAAAGTTTGTTATCGTTGGTTGATGTTGGAATCCCATTTGGATGTATACATCGAGAACCAATACGTATGTAAAAAATCAGCAAGAGAATTCTGGGCTCAAAAGCCGTATTTATCTTTAATTTCAACAAAATCCCGAAAGAAGAAATGTCCTTTTTCAAATGTATAAACAACATAAGATGTTTGTAAAAATGCTCAACGAAAAGAAGGCCAACAAAAATCAAGCAAACAAACACAAGGTTGGAATGTATTTTTTCTCAGCCAAAACAATATGTAATTACATTAATGCGTCAACAAATCGAAGTCGAATAAATATTGAATGATTTTGATGCGCACCCGTGTCCCCTCAATCACACATTATCGACTAATAAGCCAAAATGATTTTGATTGAAAAAAAAGAACAACAAATATTATTTGTCTGCACATTGTAATTTCAATCGATTTACCTATGACCAATGAACGAAGTGGAGGTGAACCATCGTGGCGAAAGCTAATTGAAACAAATGATTTGTTAGTAATTGAGTTGTATTCTATAATTTTTTATTGTTGTTGTATTTTAATTCTGTATGATAGCATCGAGTCCGCCGACCACAATGGCACCACCGTCAACTACCACATCAGAGCGGCCATTGCACGAAAATCAACCGAAAAATATTTTCGAAGCGCCGATTTTCCGCCAAAGGGATAGGGATAACAATACCATTCAATTCACCGACAAAGGTAACCATTATAAAACAATTTTACCGCGGTCATGTTTCATTATTCATGATTAATCGTAATTACGCTAGATTTGTAATTCGACATTTTTTTGACACAAAAAAAATCCGTATTCCATCGTTTTATATTCATTAACAGGTTTAAAATATCAATCGAATCTTAACGAAATCGATAAATCCGAACAAAAGTCACAAGTGGACAGTTCGAGTAAAGTATTCGAATGGCCTTCAAAAGATGAAGCAAATGTTGACAGTGAGTGATCAATTTTGTTTTTTTTTTTTTTTTTTTTTTCAAACTATACTACAATATTTTCAGATTAAATTCTTTTTTATTCGCAATTTATCAACGATTTGCTTCCTTTTCAATATTTTGGTTTAAAACATCGTTGGTTTTTCTTTTTTCAATTTCTGAAGGTGGCGCCTCGGTTATTAATGGCGTGCAAAGAGTGTCGCAATCAATCAGCACCTTCGAAAAATTCCGAATTCTGATAATTTTAAGTATTTTAACAATTGCAATGACATAATCATTAATTTCTTTGTTATTAGCCTAAAATGAACACACACGCATAAATGAGCTCACACAATAAACACACACAATTACCAACTAACAAATATTTATGCAAAACAAAACCCTATTTTATGTATTGTAAATAAGAAGTTAACTCATGTAGCGGAATGTAGTTAAACAAATAATACAATTTCTAGATGGCATGCACAAGTAACGAAATAATAACCACAACAACCACACTGTGTTTAGGTTTATAAGATAAAATAGTCACCAACCAAAAAAAGAAATGATGTTATCAAATACTGAATCCAATTGCCAAAGAAAAGAAATTGCCAATTGTTAATCTTGTACGATTTCTGTTTGGTGGCGGTCCGCTCCGCAATCGGGGCCGTCACAAGCTTAAAGAAGCAAGATCTGAAATGCACACATTAAATAGTATAAAAGATCCAAATATATTTGCTCAGGTAAGTTAACAGATCACTTCATTCTCAAAAATCAAAATATTCGAATAAAAAAAGCGCCAACAGTCGAAGCCCAGGTTTCCTTTTGCACCACATTTTAAATCGATATTCTCAAAGAAAAGGCAAGTGTGTGTTTCGAAATAAAAACTGCTTTTATTGTGAATTTGGGCGCGTGAAATGAAAAATAACTTTTGAGAGATCTATGTAAATAGCGATTTTGTTTTTGATTCTTTGACGTTTTTGATTTGTTTTGTAGTGCAAAAAAAAAATAATATATTTAAAAGAAATGGAAAAGTTAGTTAAAATAATCAAAAGTATATGTATCAAATAGAATTAACGTATATTTCCAGGGCTTGTTAGGTGAGCGAAAGGGAGATTAATTTTGAAAACGTTCTACATTTATTTTTATTCAATTGAAACAAAATCGAAATGAAAAAAATAATTAAACCAATTTTTTGTTTTGATTCGCTTATTCTAAAAAAAAATCGATGTTTATCAAATGTTAACTTTTATTGCAAATCATTGAAAAATATTATTTTCAACTTCGTAACGAAAACAAGAAAAAAGAATAATACATAAAAACCACACAATGATTAATTATCACTTAGAGACTAATCGAACACGAGCCCCGGCTAATTGAAATGATATATACATAAATAATCGATGAATCATTTGAGGGGAAAACTCCGAAGGAACTCGACCAGTAACAATGTAATTCAGTAAGCAAACAAATCGAAAGACCGAAATTATGTACGGATCGCTGAGCTAATTGAAATGATTTCTCAATAAAAAAACACTCATTTACCAAACAATAATATAATCTATTTTCTCTTTTATTAATATTTTTTTATTTCAAATGAAAGCCCATGCGTAGTTAATTGTTTTAACTGCTCGTATAAAGTGTACGTATTTTGCTGAAAAGAAGTCAACGAGCTGAATTTGCGAATTCCGTTCAACACTGTGCTGGTCAATTGACTACAACCGATTTGTTTATCCAATGGAATCTGAACCAATGACTAGATTTAATCGAAAAATGATTGCAAATCGCCTTATCGCTCTCTTTTTTTTATTCTATGGCCAGTTTTTGCTTATTCGAAAAATACTTCCTTCCCTACGAGAAAAAAAAATCGTAACAAAAATGAATATCCAAACCAAAAAACGAACCGATGAAAAAGTATTGGTTGTTGTATGAAAAATTAATTTTCCGCTTGCACAGTTTCATATCTCTCATATTATTTGGGACCCGATGCTTTTGATATGAATGCTCAAATCAAAAAGTGAAAATGTAATTTTGTGAGGTGCTTTCACATGCGGTTTCTTCTCCACCGTCACACATACACACACACACAAACAATGCGGCCTGGTGATTTGAAATGGGATATCGCAGGATTGAAAACTGCCATCGATAATTTCATTGAACAAAAGCATTTGACTGGATGACGGTGAGAGGTAAAGTATAGACATATACCTTCGATGGCTTAATATTATATGCACATTCTAAAATGATATTTTGTTGTCATACATAATAATTATGTGTGTGGTTGCTGGTATTATGCGGAAAAATCAATTATAACATTATCCAGTGACCTGAGCATATTCAACAAGTTTTGCATGTCCATTGAATGTCGCACACCATACTGTATGAGCATAGATTGTTTTGTCATTTATCTTGTTATTTGCAGGCCGATCCCGAACGAGTAATTCTCATGGTATATATTCGAATGACCGCACTCAATTTTAAATGAAAGTTGCTTTTCAACCTTCCCCAAGCAAAAATGACCATTTCTTAGTTTCGTTGCCAGAACTATACAGTTTAGTTTATCTCATTATCATAACAGAGCCAGGCAGTAAAATTGCGTTATGAACTTGCATCAAGTAAATGCTTTATGTTTGGCTTTTCAAACTATGGATATAGTAAGTTTCTTTGTTTAAAAAGAAAACCTCTTTCAAAATGAACACAATAAAACTTGCTTTTGAATCGCATGAATGCTCATCGCCGTCTGGTGATGATGATTGAAACGGGCGTAATTTTAATAGAGTGCAATTTCATGGATGCCTTTTAATAAGCGCACGATAGCTTCGTGTGAATTTTTCACTTTTACTGCTTTTTATGGGCTAATTTCAAAATGAGTATTTACTTTAAAAACTGACGGTTTATTGATGCAGTGCAACGCTCACCTATTCATTATTATTATCTGTTATTTCATGATCTATATTAAGGGCCGTAAATGGTATTTTTGCCCGAAAGGCAAGCAATTTACATCCCTTTTCACCTATAGACTCGCATCCGCCTTCAAAAATTCAAATTTTACCTCAAAATTCATATCGTTTTTATCTTTGGCGCGAACAACGAAAGCAAAAGAAAAAAAAGTCAAACATTTTACTGCGTTATTTGGCACATTGTTGTTGCCGGAGGACTTGCGTATCTTTGATTGGGCTGTGTGTGCGTTCCAAACATCATCTCATATCTGAACGGTACACGGATTTGGAGTATGCAGTATGTAGCTTTCGCATGCGGTGTTTACCTTTTGCCACAAAATGAAATAAAATTCAGTCGTTTCGCGTAATGATGGTTGAGATTTTCGACTAACTCAAGTATGCCAACTTGAACTCGGCGCACATAACGTAAGTACAATGTGATATTCGCTGGGAAGAATCGAAATACTGGATTTTGCTTGGCATTTGGCAGCTACGGTGAGCCACTTATGTACAGAGAAGAAGACGTCCTCGACACTTGAGACACACACACAAGTTACGAAAAATACTCTCAAGCATTGTTGAGGCCAAATTAATTGGAGAACATTGCCTTCATTCAAAAATAAAATGTTGATTCGACTAAAATGAACTGTGATTCCTTTCAGATGTGAACTATTGACTTGAAATTTAATTATTATACAATTGAACGTAACGAACGTTCATTTCGAAGGCAAAATTGGTAAGTGTTATTCTAAAGGGCTTTTTTGTTCGCATTTTTTAAAACTTAACACTAATTATAACATAAAGAACAATTGACGAATTTGCTCAATCGTTGAGTTTTCTCCTCCGGTGGGGATTGAAACGAAACATAACTGGTACATGGGTGTAATACCCACACTCAGATTTATAAAACTGAATGTACTCTCTCACATTTAGTATCAATGCAAATGTGTCAACGCCAAATTGGGAATTTACATAAAAAAAACAATAATACGAAACACATTCATGCAATGATATGAACTTAATTTTTCACGAAAGCAAATGATTTTGAAACACAAGTCAAACAAAATGACCGGTTTCGAACCCTGGAATTGATATGATTATGAATGTGTCGAGCAATGTAGTTTCAATGGTCATTTCAAGAAGTTTAAAAAGCCATGTCATTTTTTCTCTCATTCCAAACTCTTTTTTCCACCATTTTGGTAATTGAAAACGACTTTCAATCAAAATTGATGATGATGCCTTGGGTTTTTGCATATTATTTCGAAAGTTTAATCGGATGTCAAATCGATCCAATCAAAAAGTTTAAAATATTTTCCGTTATCAGTGGTGATTACAAATGCCCTTAACAGATGGTTTATTATTTGTATTTTGACTGGAATGAATAGCCGCCGGATAAAGTTATAATTATTATCTGCGTGAAATCTGCGACCAAAGTTCCCTTTTTGTGTTTGATAAATTAGCTTTGCCATGACAAAAACGTAGATTTATTAAATTGTCAAAAGGAGGATCTCATATATACTTCCAACCTCGCTCTTTGTCATTCATGTTATGCTTTAACCGCTTGACTTTTTTTTTAATTAAAAAGAAAATATACGCCAATTCAAAGCGATATTGTCGATGACAGAAATCAAACATTTGTGATGCGGATTTCACTAAAAACATGTAAATGTTCATGATGTCAAAAATTGTGCTGTCGTATAGATGCGATGATATAAAATAAAGCTATGAAAAGTCTCGAAAAAAGCGTATTCATCACTATTGGAGGTCAGTGTGTGTGAGAGCCACCGGGTAGTGGAGTAGAATGTATAAGTGAATGTTGTATTTTAAAGTGCATGCATGCGATGCATCGCTCTACATCGTGAGAGAGCGTTTTATTCAAAAACGTTTTATTTACATGGCAAGACAGTTGAAATATTTATATACTGTTTATCCAAGTAGATTATCTGTGTCTATTTCGATGGCATGTTTCGAAAGCTGGAAAAATGTCAGTGTAAAGCTTTAACATGAACGCGACACAACTTGACGATGTTGGTGCAAAATAAAGCGAGAGAATTCAGTTCAAGTAACCGAAATAAGGAAAAAAAAAGTGATATCCCTGTTTGTTGAGAAAGACACTTTTATTTACTTATTTCGTCGAACTGAAATATATTCAAATTCCCTTTCCCATTTGTTTCGTTCTCAAAAACTCCAAAGGCAGTCATTTTTGTTCGGGTCGCTCTCTGTTTTTTCTTTTTGGCTTCAGCCACTTGATTTTCTCCATACACGCAATTTTCAAATCACATTTTTCTACTTTCCCTCTTTCTCTAGTCGTTCGTCGAATTTTATAATGTCGTATGCTTTACTATGTTACTAGTCGTCCTGCTGGTATTGTTGTTGTACTTCAAGGCAAATGATCCTTCAGCCACTTGCTACATAAAAATTTTAATGGTCTCGATTTCGATCACACCAGCATTGTATTTTGTACTGGTGATTGTTGATTCGTCGTTGTGTGTTTAAGTGTGTTCATTAATGCATATCATGTGACAAATGCTTGAATTCGTTGTATTAAGCTACATCGTCATCATCGCAATCGCTTTCTCTCGCCCGAGAGATCATCGCTTTTCTCTGTGTGTCTGTGTTAATGTTATGCCAAAATCGTATTAACAAATCGTTTCCCATGTTCCAAACAAATAAAACAGCGAAAAATAAACATTTACACGCTTTTGATTTGCAGCTTTTATACAGATTCTTCAGCTCCGTTATGTGTGTATGTATGTACAGTGATAACATTTTCGTTTCATCTCTGTCACACTTTTGCAATCGCTATTGTGTCGACAAGCGAACCGACAAAAAGAATTTCGACAAAATAAGAATAAATAATGAAAAATTCTCCGAATTCCTTTGCTTTCACTTCCACGCACACACTTCGTTCCCTCTCTCCCGTCTCAGAAGAAGAAGAAGAAAAAAAGTGTCGCTTTTTGTCATTTGAATTGGTTTTAGTGCCGAGGCGGTTGTGTTACTCTGTTATTTTCCATTTCGAATGCCGATGCGCGCACACTACGTGTATGGCTGAACAAAGAACACTTCGCAATATCGAACAAGACTCGCGTCTCCAAAGAAAATATAAAATCGCAATGAATTTCATTTTCAACCAACTAACGGAAATAAAAACAATGACCGAACGAAACAAAACAAAAACTCAGAATTGAATAAAGAATACCGGTGTGTTTTCATGCATTTGCAGACATTGTTCTTGAACCATCCAAACGACACATTAAACTAATTCAAGTCGACGAA